TATCTATCTATCTATCTATCTATCTATTATGTATCTCTATCTATTATCTATCTATCTATCTATCTATCTATCTATCTATCTATCTATCTATCTATCTATCTATCCATCCATCCATCCATCCATCCATCCATCCATCCATCCATCCATCCATCTATTACATCTATCTATCTATCCACCTATCCACCTATCCATCTATCCATCTATCTATCATGTATCTCTATCTATCTATCTATCTATCTATCTATCTATCTATCTATCTATCTATCTATTTATCTATTATGTATCTCTGTCTATTATCTATCTATCTATCTATCTATCTATCTATCTATCTATCTATCTATCATGTATCTCTATGTATTATCTATCTATTATGTATCTGTCTATCTATCATTCTATCTATCTATCTATCTATTATCTATCTATTATGTATCTGTCTATCTATTTATCTATCTATTATGTATCTCTATCTATCTATCTATCTATCTATCTGTCTATCTATCTATCTATCTATCTATCTATTATCTATCTATCTATCTATCTATCTATCTATCTATCTATCTATTTATCCATCCATCCATCCATTACATCTATCTATCTATTACATCTATCTATCTATCTATCTATCTATCTATCTATCTATCTATCTATCTATCTAATCTATCACATCTATATATTTTTCACATCTATGTATCTATATAGTGAAAGAGAGAGAGAAAGATGGAGTCTGGGTGTAGCACTCTAAGGTCAACACTGGACTGCTAACCTCATCAAGGTTGGAGGTTCAAATCCACCAACTGCTCCTCAGAAGCCCTATACACAGGGTCGCTGTGAGTCGGAACCGACTCCAACAGTGCTTCACAACAGTGGTGATGTGCGTTACACATTGTGCTGCCAAGTACAAGGCCAGCCTTATAAATCACCAGTTGTTCCGTGAGAGAAAGATGAAGCTTTCTGCTCCAGTATAGATTTACAGCCTCGGAAACCCTCTGAGTTGGCATCCACTCGATAGCTGTAGGTTTGGCTTGTTGCTGTTTTAAATAAATCTTTACAGAAGCCAGACACTAGATCTTAGTAACTGCCGATCTGTATGGAATACAGCCAAACACTAGGAGAAAAACCACTAACACTGTGGGTTATGTGTTGGGGTACTTAGCTGCAAGGTCGGTGGTTCAAACACACTGGCCGCCTTGAGAGAAAAAGATGAAGCTGTCTGCCCCCGTAAACATTTATCGTCTCAGAAACCCTGTGTGGGCAGTTGTAATCTGTCCTATTTGGGTGGATCCGAGAGTCTGAATCGACTCAACAGTAATGGATTTGGACATATAGAGATGTACCCATTCAGGCAAGCAGGCAGGGAGAGCTACACTCAGTTACTAACTGAGAAGTTGACGGTTCAAAACCACCCCAGAGGTGATGCAGAAGAAAGGCATGGCAATCTTCTCCCGAAAGAGCACATCATTGAAAGCCCGCTGGGGCAGAACTATCCGGCAGATGAGGGTTGGAATCGAGTAGACAGGAAGCAACAAATCAATAAGCAAGGGACACAGAGGCATGTGTCCCTGATGAGTCACTGAAAGGGATTTTATGAAAGGCACGAGATCTAGAATGTTCTCTTGGGTCTGCATAGCGCCTTCTTAGCATGGCTGCTGTATCCTCAGCATTCAGAGCACGGGCGGGGGAGAAACGGGCGAGGCTCCAAGTCTCTGGACCGTCCCTTCTCACGATCCCATCTACTCCCATCCCTGTAGCCGGGGTCATGATGGTCCCGCACCGGACAACTGCCGATGGCTTCGAGGAACACTTTGGAATCAACTACCTGGGGCACTTCCTGCTGACCAACCTCCTCCTGGACACGCTCAGAGACTCGGGGTCCGCCAGCCGCAACACCAGGGTGGTCACTGTCTCTTCAGCCACACATTACGTGGGTGAACTCAACATGGACGATCTGCAGAGCAGGTAGGGGTGCCCTGGTGAGGGGTCACAGCCGGTGGGGGACCCGTGCTCACTGAGTGCCCCCCGGCTTGTCTGCTGGACGCAGCTCTGAGCACCAGAGGACGCTGGGAACAACCTGGTCATGGACAAGATGGTGTGGAGCTGTACATGTGTGTGTGAGTTTGTACATGTGTAACTGTGTCTCTGTGTATGATTGTGCATATATGTTAGTTGTGCATATAAGTGAGGTGGCATTTGTGGGTGTTTACATATGAATGTGTGGACCTGATGTGGTAGCTGGGGTGTCTGTGAACTTCCGAGTGTGAGCGACTGTGTGTCAACAATTGTGTGTGTGTGTGTGATTGTGAACTCGTGTGTGTATGATGGTATGTGTGCATATGACAGTGTGTGTGTGTTTGTGTGTTTGCATATGACGTGTGTGATTTTGCATGTGTGACTGTGTGTCTTTGTATGTTTGGTGGTGTGTGTGTGTAAAAGTGATTTGTGACTTTGTGTGTTTGTAATGGAGGTTGGCAGTTTGTGTGTGTATGTGTGATTGTATCTGTATGGTGGTTGTGTATGAGTGAATTTGTATGTGTCTGTGTGATGGTGTGTGAGTATTAAAGTATGGCTGATGTTTCATAAGTAGATACCACTCATAGTACCCCCGTGTGTGTCAGAGTAGAACTGTGCCCACAGGGTTCTCAGTGGATGATTTTTCATAAGTAGATCCCACTCATGGTGCCCTGTGTGTGTCAGAGTAG